TAGTTAGGGAATTTCTATGTCTTCTTTGCCTAACACAGGCATGAAAGAATTTACTGTTCTTGTCTCCTCCCTGCAACCATTGTATTCTGGATTTCTGCTTCCAGTAAGCTTCTTCATCAGAATAGGCCTTATTCAGAGCATTCTTGCAGGAAAACCATTCAGACCAATCTCTATCCCCTCCCTCCTGTCCTGGTCTCTTAGTTTTTCATTACAGATATCAATCATCACTGCAGAGTTAGTTTTTTGAAGAGCTGTCCATCCCAGCAGAGCCAACTTGTTTTATTTTTTCAAACGGCATAAACATACTCATAAAAAAAGCCAAAAGGCAATGTACAATTGGCGTGCCCGAAGTGGGGAAATGGGAGGTTACACCCACAACTAATGTAACCTAGATGGAATGCCAACTAGCAAAGCTAGAACGAGCACACTACAACACCAAACCAAACTAAAACCACAATAAAACAAATACAGAAATAAAAAGTCCCCACCAGGGTAATACCCGAGTGTAAACTCCCAACAGGCAGATAAAGGCTACACTCAGGCCAAACTGGGGCCAATGGCCCAACCAAAAAACACAGACCACACAAAAACAAACATAACGAGCACACAACAAAGAAAAACAATAACATAAACAACAATAAACTAAAACGGAGCCCTTCCCCGGCGAACCGAACTAAGCTCAACCATCAGTGAAACGACCGACACAGAGAAAACCTCGAGCCCGAGAACCGCTACCGAAACTGCACGAACGCCTATACAGCAGGTGAACTTAACCCTCGAGACAATCCCGAATTGACCCATCTCTAACCGAGAGAGCCCGAAACAGCCACCACGCCAGCCCACCGAACTCATCTAACACCACTAGCCAAGCTCGATAGGACCCAATCCCCTACCCGCCAACTTGACCTTTCTCAATTTCTGCTGAAATGAATATAGCAGAGGACCCTGCACATTAGAATTCCTGGAATTTTCCACACAATTTTTATATCCTGGTAAGCTGGCCATCTATTATCAAAGTGAAACTTGTGGCCAGTTTTTCTGAAAGAGCCTTCAGAATCAAATAACAAAAGATGATGATCTGAAGATGACATAAATATATGCTTCACAACAGAATTGGGGAATAGGCAAAACCATCAGGAGATAAGAATAACCTATCTAACTTAGCCTCAACAAAATCATCCCCCATTCTATTATTTGCCCAAGTAAAATGGTGCCTAATAGATTTGCACTCAGCCATGCACATATCATCCACAAACTTCCTAAACCCTTGGAAACTCTGATCCCCTCTAATCACTCCCCATTTTTCTCTGAGTTGGACAGGATGGCATTATAATCCCCCCAATGAACCAAAGACTACCCCACTAAAGCTTATGCCTGAGAATGATAAACCATTGGAACATCCTATCTATGGGATCAGTACTAGAATACAAGAAGACTGCCCATTTTTTAGTGGCACAACCTACATCAGAAAAGAAAACTTCAAGGCAAAAAGGATTACTAATAATATCCATAATATTGACAGAAAGAGGCCATAAAACTAAGAGTCCTCCTCTACAAGCAAAAGGATCAACATAAAACCATCTATCAGCAAAACCCAGATTTTTACAAACTGAAGCTACAAAAGATCTCTTTTTTTCTTTTTTTTTTGGCTTCTGAAAAGAAGAAAAGATCTGGGAGGTGGGCCCTAAGGGTCTCTTTGATTTGGGCAATTGTAGAGGGTCCTCCCAGACCTCTACAATTCCACAAGCAGACCTTCATTGGAAACCTCAGGATCAGTTTAGGCTGGTTTCCTCCACCTGGATATCAACAAGATCTTTCCCTATTTTTTGCTTTTTTTTTTCTCAGACTTATCTATCAACCCATCACTGTCAGCATTAGGGTGCTTTCTTTTCCCCAAATCAGGAACATGGGTTAAATCAGAGCACATAGGATTATCAATCAACATGCTTTCTTCAAAAGAGGTTTTATTGTTTTTGGATTTTTGATAATGACTTTCCGCAATGGCTGTTTAGGGGAGAGGCTCTCCTTTGCAGGAGAAAGAGGAGATTGGATATTAGAGGGATTCTGACTTTCTTCAAACACTGTTATCAATTAAGTCACCCTCAACAGAGGAAGTGAGGTTATTCTTGGGATTATCAGCTACTGGGATTACAGGGTCAGAAGTTGGGTTTGATCCTAGCCCATCCTTAGACATGATCTCCAATGGTCTATCAACTACAGGGTCCCCACTCTTTGGCTTACTACCTCCCCTTCCCCACTATTAGGATTATTAAACTTTCTATATCCACCCTCCCCAAAACCTCCAAAACTAGCTTTAAGCCAATCCCCAAACTGACTTGAGTGATGCATATTATGTCTGATGTGCTCCCTTTTAGTCACGCAAGTTCGCTTCCCATGACCAATGATTCCACAATAGTAGCAGAAAGACTGCAAGTTCTCATATTTGAAGTCAACCCAATGAACCTCATTGTCCAGCTTGATCTTCGTGCCTCTGAGGAGGAGTTCATCAACATTGATACTAGCCAGGATTTTAACTATCTTATTCTGAGGACTTCCCAGGCCAGGCAAAATCACGTCCAGAGCTTGACCAAAGAGGCTACCCACTTTAATACCGGTTTCTTCTGATATCCAGTGAAGGGGGGAGATTCAATATATGCACCCACAAGTCGACTTTCCTTTCATTGGCCGCAAAATCTAGTTGGTTCTTGTTCCACTCCTTAAGAAGCAGGTACTGGCTGTCAAAAGACCACGATTTACCATTCAAAACTTTCAGCTTATCCTCCTCAGATTGGAAGATGAACTGATACAGATTCCCATCTAGAGCTTGAATAGAGAAAGGGTGTCTTGTTCGCCATGCCAGATTTAGGGTTGTTTTCAGCCCTCCGAAATTGACCTTCGTATCGCCAATAAACCGACCGATTAAACTAAGAGCACATTCTTGTATTCCTGGCTCAATGTCATTATCGGATAGAGAGATCCCCAAATTTTCTTTGGTAGATAGGTCAAATTTTCGCATTTTATCCATAATATCTTATTCCATCATACCCAGAGAGAGCAGCTACAAAACACTAGAACTCACAATTAGGTAGACTTTAGGAGATCTGCAACACAATAAAGTAAAGAATCCGTTTGATACCGGTAAGGAATGGGTAAAAGGACTGAAACCCTAAAGCCGATAACCCTAAAATACTATGGGTCCCAGAAGGAAGAAGGAGACAAAGAGATGGAAGATTAAAGCGGAGAAAAAGGTAAAATAGAGAAAAACAGCAGACTATCTGAAGCTACAAGATGAGAATCCAATAAAATGGAACGAGAAAACTCCAGATGGAGAAGGCCACTCCCATGGAAAGGGAACTTTCATGCGTCCAACTATGCCAATAAAAGTTGCAACGATTTTGGGTCTTGTAATCCTAAATTAAAGGCTAACATTTGATAAATTTATATGATATTTCACAAGTCTCCTCGAGAGGGATGTTTAAGTTTATATAATCCCTAATAAAATGTGGGATGGCCGCGTGGGCGGCTGTTAGGTATTTTGATTTGTGAAGATGATAACAATTTAGATTTAAGAATAACCTCTGTTATTTTATTTTATTTTTTATTCAGACCAATCTGTTTTGATTATGCTATTAACTCAGGTCAATTTTTTTTTTTTTTTTTAAACTCAAAATCTAATTCAAAATTTAACTAAACTCAATTTTCCTCACTAATATTAATATATTTATATAATATCACTATATCATTCTCACATATCACATCAACTTTAATTCATCATTCATCTACTCGTATAATTTTAGTCACACATGATTTCTAGTCACATCTCTCCTACTTTTAATCATATCAAATCTAAATCTAATCATTATATTTTAAATATTATTTTAATACAAACTCAAAATCTCACTCAAGTCTAAATCAATCAACACTTTTCAAAATTAACTTGGTTATCAAACAAATCTTTATCAAATCCAAAATAACTTATATCCAATCAGCCCTAATAATACTTACTAAAGTAGTACCTAAAATTACTGGGCTTTGCTTTAAAGTTATTGGGCCTGATATCAGCTAACCGTATACCAGCCCGTGATATGAAGAGGCTGAATTTTAGAATGCCCATCCCATTGGTGGTCTGATCTGTAAATCCACTTGTTGTACCATCTGCTGTAAAATTTATTAAATTAGCCATCTAGGTATCGCAAATTTATGAGAAATCACATGCAGTGAAGATTTAGTAAATTTTAATACGTAGTGCAAATTTTGCTTTATTTTTTTGTACAAAATCTGCACTTCTTTCTCAAAATTTGCGCAAATCATGCATTTAGATAAAGGTTTCATACAACTTTCCCATTAATTTAATTTTGATTTTGGTTTTGGTTTGTATTAAACTACCATTCTAGAAAACAAATAATAAATCATTGAGTGATAATTCCTCAACTGCATGTAGTAATTGCAAAGATAAATATATCGAGTGATTATAGCGTATAAATCGCACGAATGAGCTACTTATAGTTGATCGGCGGCTTGAAGTTAAGCGCAAGAGTGTCTAAATATATATCTTCTGCATAACTTCTTTATGTAAAGCAGACGTTATGTAGGTCGAATAGATTATTACAAATACATTTGACTAAAATGTGTATTTGGGAGAAAAAGAAGAAAATAATTTGTGATAGTTTTTAAATACAACTGTATATTTATACTATAAAATAAGATGTTATTTTTGTCTATGTATTCTTTAAAATATATTCCAGCATATAAGTATTAATTATATTTGTTGAAAAAGCATTCAACATGTTGGTAAAACAAGTTCCAAATAACCATCTACTTGATTTATCCAATTTGGTTTTCAAAACTTAATAAAACTAAGCGCACAAACGCACAATCGAAAAAGAGAAAGGAAAAGTCATATACAAAAGTATGAAAACAGAGTATTTGAAATTCAATAATCCTTAAGCAAGTATAACTGTATAAGCTAAATTTCCATGAAGCATCGAAGAGTAGCAGATTTAGAAAAATGGAGCCCTTGTTGGCACTCCTTTTCTACTTCGTTTGCGTTTTGATGGATTAATTGGTTCTTCGACATCCAACAGTGCAAGAAAATGAATCGGCTCTGTAACTGCTTGAATCTGGACCGAAAAATATATATTTACATATTTTATCTAAATAAAATATATATACATATTCGAATACCATAGGATTAATCAAGATACATAATTCACCTTGCATGCAATTGAGCAAAATTGAAATCGATCTAGATTTGTTAGCTTTCTTTCGCAAACATGGCACTTTCCTTTGCCATCGGCAAGTAAACCAGAGTCACTATGACGAATTGTGTTCAAACATAGAACCGGCTTACTGTTACATTTATACACCTGGAATTAAATTTCAATTCATCCGTTAAAATTGTTCAATAAACCAGTTTAGATAGTTAAAAACAAAAATCTTCTGGTCCATAATGGCATAATCTAAAGATACATTACATAAAATTTGAATAGACTATTTAAGTAAAGTCTTGTGTTGAATCCATAATACATTACATAACAATGGCTAGTTAATTTCTGTTTGTGAATGTGCTTGTGCGCGTACACACTTGTACGTTTGTGCACGTGCGCGTGTGCTTGTTGTGCGTGCGAATTAAAAATATAAAATAAAACACCATACCATAAAAAAACTTATTAATTACCTGAATATTCTGACAATCAATGTGAACCTCCATCTCATTAAGAGGAACCGCATTTTGGTAGGTATATCTATTGATGGGGAGTATATCATGGCCCTTGTGATAACCATATGTGATACAATGTCTGCAAAATGATTCATCACAAGTTATGCAGTACCTGTTTAATTCATTCTTTCCCAAATTATGACTCGGGCATTTTTCAAAAAATGTCTTCCCCAAAAAGCTTTCGATCCATTTCGGGCAAATGCGTTTTTGTACTATATGATCAATCTGCAGAAGAAATGAATATAAATACATAGAGCGAATATAGCATACAAATCGCACTAAACAATCATTACTCGACCATGAGCTACTTCTTAAGGTAAACGTTCGCGATTCCTAGCCATTTCATTTATGTTTTAAGTAGACAAAAAAATATCCAATGGTGTAAATCTATACCTTCTTCATAACTTCCTTCGCGGTAGCACTCATGTTTTTTGTAGATTGATCGATCTCTGCAACTGTAACAGTTGATGATGTTTTGTGTCTTGGTGAACAGGACGCGAAGACGATCTTATTTATAGCGTTCGAGTAGATTTTGAATGATCTTGTATACAACGTTCTAGATGATTTCCTTAACAAAATGATGTAAATCAAATAGTTTATTACAAAGATGTTTGACTAAAATGTTTCGTTCTTCGTAATCCTATGTATCGATTGTGGCACTTTGTATTAAATGTGTCACTTTATGATTTTCCATATTATTCTATGTCGGTGTAAACTTTTATCCATGCCAATTAGAGATTTTTTAAAATATTTAACTAACTTAAATTATAAATATATTTTAAAATGTATTAATTCTTAATTCCTCATCATTTTTTTCATATATGATGGGGAGTATGTCATGGCCCTTGTGGCAACAATATGTGATACAATGTCTGCAAATTGATTCATCACAATTTTTGCAATACCTCTTTGGTGTGTAAAGGGATTTGATCGAACCCGAACAATCTGGATTGACTGCTCAACTGGTTTCAAAGAATTAGACGTGCAAAATGGGTTGGGAGGTGTTTCTGGCATTAGTACTCCGACAATCAAGTCAGTTTAAGTGATAAAAACGATGAACGATAGATATATCGATTGTAAGTATATTAAAGTGTGTAGAGTATAAATGGACATACCCACTCTTTTATATAAGAGTATTACCTTGTTGCCAAAGACTGCCCAGATGAGCTGTTCGAGTGCCTGAATTGCCAGAATACCTTAACTGCTTAATTCTTTTAGGTCACATGGTCCAATCCACGTGCAGTTCTTATCCTAATAATATTTCTTCTAATCCATTAGTCTGCCTTATTAATTAGTGACATAATGCATCAACCGAAAATAGTGATCTAGTTGCACCAAGTCAATTCATGTTTTTACATCATGTGGCATAACGATCCCTTACATTTGAAAAAATCTATGTCATGAAATGATGTGTTGAGACGCTAGCACATGGTTCGATTGTATAGTGCCTTGACTGTGAGAAGAGCTTCACACACAGAAAGAAAGTGATTGAGGGTGAAAGCTGCTGATGTGCATTGCACTTAACTTCAATTTACATGCTGGAGTTATAAGTTAGTCATTTATTCATTTTAGTGCTTAAAATAAAATAAAAAGAAAAAAAAAATTATGTGCCTAACGAAAATAAAAATTTGGAGAAAAGTCTATTATAAGTAATGGGATAGACTTTGATTTAATCGTGATCGTCTCTAAGTGAAAAATGATTTAGCAATTTCTACAATTCGAAGCTATAAGGTTCTCACTGTTCCTTCAGTCGCCCTGTTAGCGCTCATGTGAAATACAAGACAACAATGGATTATTTTATTCTACCTTCTATTTTTTTTTTTAAATGTCATATTAATTTTATTAACCATTAACCAAATAAATGACGTTTTAATTGGATCTTTTGTACATATTTTTCCATTATTACTCCCATTTAGTTAATAAATACACTATGTCTTTTCATATTCACTCTTCATCTTTTCTTAAAATATCCATCTCTATCTTCATTAAATAGGGTTATTATTAGCAAAAAAAAATTCTTAATTACTGTGCAACTTCTCAAAACGACACTTATTATGAATAGCAGGAAGTAGCATTCAGAAATACAAGACAAAAGTGGAAATAAGGTCCATCACGACTTGGATCAGTAGAAATGGGGGCTATGGTCAAGTCTTCATATGCACATCATAAATATCCCATAGGGACTCGCAACGCCCAAGCCTCCTCTGTGTCCTTGCCCTGGTTTTTCTTCGAACTGTCGACAACCATGATCTAGTTGTCGTCAAAAGTTATGAGAAAATCAAGCCTCCCACTAACTAGTAAAGACTTGATTTTTTCCACAGACGACGCCTACTTGATGTGTAAATACAAGACAAAAGTGGAAATAAGGTCCATCACGACTTGAATCAGTAGAAATGGGGGCTATGGTCAAGTCTTCATATGCACATCATAAATATCCCATAGGGACTCGCAACGCCCAAGCCTCCTCTGTGTCCTTGCCCTGGTTTTTCTTCGAACTGTCGACAACCATGATCTAGTTGTCGTCAAAAGTTATGAGAAAATCAAGCCTCCCACTAACTAGTAAAAGACTTGATTTTTTCCACAGACGACACCTACTTGATGTGTAAATTGTCTCCGGACTAGTGGTGTCACGAACCGTCCTTCCAATTGAGCTCTGGTCACCTGCAAAATGCGCCTGGCTGTAAAAGATCTAACTTGAGCTCAAGATACATCTCGCTCGTGAACTGTATATCTAGGATGTAGAATATGTATTGCATATTAGGTGTAAAAGAACCCAATAACCTTCTTTTATAAGAAGTTTATCTTTTTACCCATGCGACTTCATTACTAGAAAAAAGGTTTCATTATATCTCGTTTCCTAGTATGACATGCTTCCAAGATCTTCTATTTCTTAACGAGATATACTTACTACTTTAACAGGACTATGTTTCCTTCTTTAATATGGTGTTTTAGGTCATTAGGTCGTCGTACTGATCTCATGACACTCCTATCATGTTGACTCGTATCTCGAGCTACTATCCGGAGCTCCTTGATGAAGGCAGACATTGATACTGAAATTAAGCTATTCTGGATCAGTTAACCCGAACTAACCATTCTAACTGGTTCACCGAGCTAAGCTAATGGATGAGAAATTAACAAGTTTTCTAACTTAAATATTATTGCAATTGATTATTCTATCATACTGACACGAATTATTAATAATTAAATGCTTTATTCAATAATGAAAAATAATTAAGACTATTACGACAATAATTAAAAATAATGATTATTTTATGGTATTCAAAAATACAAGACAACAATGGAAATAAGGCCCATCACGACTTAAAACAAGTAGAAATGGCAAATGGGGGCTTACAAATATCCGATCTGCGCAATAATTTTGATAGTGATCCGAAGGCCGAGACAATCGCGTGATATTTGAGAGAGAAATAAAAATGACAGAAATAAATTACATTGACACCATATTAAGAAATATATCTAGTAGTTCTCTACTGTTTTCGTGCAACTTTTGCACTATTTTGAGGTAAAATATGCATTAAATTCTACAAGTTCATTATATTATGAATATTTAGTACACAATATACAAGTTCATTATATTAAGGGT